CAGATAAAGAAGAGGTCTTAGAAGCAGAAGGAGTTCCTGAAGAAGTAATAGAGGAGGTATCCTTACAAGCCCTTAATGGCACACCAGGCTATCAGACATTGAGGCATAGAGGGTTCACTGAGCAAAAACCATTAGAGATCTTCATTGACTATGGATCTACCCACAACTTCATTGATGAAGATACAACATAAAGGCTAGGGTGCAAAATTACCAAGATAAAGCCACAGTTGGTCCAAGTAGCTAATGGTAGAGAGGTTCCTACAGAGAAACTATGTAAAGGGTTTCAATGGCTCATGCAAGGTGCAGTATTTCAAGGGGACTTCCTGGTTTTTCCTATTGGCAGCAGTGACATTGTGTTAGGCATCCAGTGGCTGTACCCCTTAGATGACATCAAGTTTAACTTCAAGAAGTTGATAATGGAATTTGAACATGAGGGCGGATTGTTGACACTACAAGGAATTCAACCTACATTCAAGGATGTTCAATTCAAGGCTTTGGAGAAGATTGATAGAAAAGAGTCAAGGTTCTTCATGGTAAAGGTTAGAGGAACCAAGGAAGAAGAGGCAAGTGAATCAGAGTTGGAAGGCAGCTAGGTCCCAATGCCAATTAAGGAGGTTCTGAAACAATATGAACTGGTGTTTGGGGAACCAACTCAACTGCCCCTTTTTAGAGGTGTGTTTGATCATCACATACCTCTATTGGAGGGTACCTCCCCAACCAATGCTAGACATTATAGATACTCCCCTGTACAGAAGGATGTCATAGCAAAATTGGTACAGGAAATGTTAGAACAAGGGATAATACAACACAGTTCCAGCCCTTATGCCTCACCTGTGGTCTTAGTGGGAAAAAAAGATGGAACATGGAGGATGTGTGTGGACTATAGGGCCTTGAACAAAATGAATGTCAAGGACAAGTTTCCTATTCCTATTATTGAGGAATTGTTGGATGAGTTAGGGGGTTCTCAGGTATATTCTAAAATAGACCTCAGGGCAGGTACCACCAAATTAGAATGGCACCTGAGGATGTAGCCAAGACTGCCTTTAGAACACACTCTGGGCACTATGAATATCTGGTTATGCCTTTTGGGCTAACCAATGCTCCTTCAAGCTTCCAAGGGCTAATGAATCATATCTTCCAAGCACATTTGAGGAAGTTCATTTTGGTATTTTTTGATGACATTTTGATTTACAGCAACAATTTGGAGGAACATGTACAGCATCTCAAGATTGCCTTTGAATTATTGGTACAACATCATTTGTTAGCAAAGAAGAGCAAGTGTGTGTTTGAGGCAGAAAGAGTGGAGTACTTGGGCCACTATATATCTTCACAAGGGGTCTCCACTGATCCTAAGAAGATAGAGGCTGTGAAGGATTGGCCTGAACCAAAGAATGTGTCCCAGCTTAGAGGATTTTTGGGATTGGTAGGGTACTACAGGAGGTTTATACAAGGATATGGGGTCATTAGCAAACCTCTTACTGATCTCCTCAGGAAAGATGGGTTCAACTGGACCAAAAAGGTAGAAGAGGCCTTTGATAAGCTTAAATTGGTCCTAACTACATCACCTGTGCTAGCCTTGCCTAACTTCTCTTTGACATTTGTAGTTGAAACTGATGCCTGTAATGTTGGTATTGGAGTTGTATTAATGCAACAAGGCCAGCCCATTGCCTACCTAAGTAAAGGTCTAGCTATTCAGCACCAGTGGTCCCAATACTTGACAGTGAAGCCCTTCATTGTTAAAACAGATCAAAATGCTATTAAGTTCTTGTTGGAGCAAAAGTTGCACACAGGCAATCAGTTGAAATGGATAACTAAATTGATGCAGTATGACTTTGAGATTCAGTACAAAAAGGGGAAGGAAAACAAGGTTGCAGATGCACTCTCCAGACTACCCTTAGTGGAACTATCAGCCATTGCACTCTCAACTGTGAGAACCGATCTGTTGGAAGCCATTATGAGGAGCTGGGAGTTAGATGAGGAATTAAAGTCAACAATCCAGGCTCTCAAGGATGGGGGGTCTCAGGATAAAGGGTATACCTTCATACATGGTCAGCTTAGGAAGCATGGCAAGTTGGTGGTAGGACCTGACCTACCATTGAGGAAAGAGATCTTACATTTGTGGCACAGTTCCACACTTGGAGGACACTCAGGTATGGACAACACTTACAGGAGGGTGTCTTCTCTATTCTATTGGAAAGGAATGAAGGAAGAAATTCAGGAACTTGTAAGGGGTTGTGATGCCTGCCAAAGACACAAATATGATAATGCCCCTTACCCAGTGTTATTACAGCCCTTGAAAATACCTGTTGCAGCATGGAGCAGCATAAGCATGGACTTCATAGAGAGGTTGCCTAAGTCTCAAGGGAAATCAGTTATTTGGGTAGTAGTGGATAGACTCACAAAGTCTGCTCATTTCATAGGTTTATCTCATCCTTATTCTGCTAAGGAGCTAGCTAAAATTTTCATGGATCAAGTTTATAAGCTACATGGATTGCCAGAAGACATTGTCAGTGATAGGGATCCTATCTTTACAAGCAAGTTATGGCAGGAATTGTTTGCCATGCTAGGAGTAAGCCTCAACACATCCACAGATTACCATCCCCAAACAGATGGTCAGACTGAGGTAGTTAACAGGTGTGTAGAGACTTACTTGAGGTGTTTCTGCTCAGATTCTCAAAAGGATTGGATGCACTATCTTGGGGCAGCTGAATGGTGGTACAATACCACCTTCCATTCTGCCATTCAATGTACCCCCTATGAAGTTTTGTATGGTCAACCCCCACCCCTGCACTTACCTTATGCTGCTGGAGATTCAAGTGTGGAGGAAGTGGATAGGAGCTTGCTCACTAGGGAGTTCAAGGTGCAGCTTCTCAAATACCATCTCAAGAGGGCTTAGCAGAGGATGGAAATTCAAGCAAATAAACACAGGTCAGATAGGCAGTTCAAGGAGGGAGATTGGATATATGTCAAGATTCAGCCCTATAGACAGGTTACCATGTCAGGAGGACAATTCTCTAAGCTTGCAGCTAAATACCATGGGCCCTATCAGGTACTACAAAAGATAGGGAGTGTTGCTTATAAGCTCTCTCTTCCCTCTCAACTACTGTTGCATCCAACTTTTCATGTGTCCCAACTCAAGAAATGCTACGAGCTACCACAAACAACATCACACCCTCCTATAGTCGAATTGCCAAGCCCCTACTGCCCTGAGCCACAGAAGATTTTAGAGAGGCGTATGATCCAAAAGGGAAATAAGGCAGTAGCCCAGGTTCTAGTTCAATGGGATCAAATGCCACCAGATCGAGCTACTTGGGAGGACTACTCAGCTTTGAAGACTCGTTTCCCACACTTCCTTCCTTGAGGACAAGGAAGTTTTTAAGGGAGGGGAACTGATGAAAAAGAGAATTGGCTCAGCTTGCGCGACTTGTAAATGCAGCTTTAAGAGTAGTACCTAGCCGTTAGAAGTTAGTTATAGGCAGGTAAATTATAAGATATTTAGTGGACAGTTTAGTCCCTATAAGTTCTTAAGGCAAGTTCGATTATATGTAATTAGGTCCCTAGATTTTATTTCGTTGGTCACTTATAGTCCATGTCAGAGGCGGTTATAGGACTTTGTCTTGTAGTGAATAGTAGTACCTATATGTAATGGTCTAGAAGCTGCAGAAGGGATATCGAATATACTCTACTTAATTTTTACCCTAATTTTCTCTTAGTTTCTTTTTTTTTCTTCTCTTCATTGTTGCATTGCCACTGCTTGCATCATATGCAAAGATATATATGAGATACATGGATATAAAAGATAATATACACTGATATAAATGTGAATACATACTGATACACATGAAGATATACACAAATCAGACAACACCAAAGCTTCTCCAAATAAGCTCAAATCTCATATTCTAAAGGTGTTTTCAAGCTATTGCAACGTCACCTGTTCGATTTAGCAACACTTTTTGGATTTCAAATTTTAACCTCTCAGCCTTCAAACTTCAATAATGGAGTTTTTAAACTTTTGAAGTTCCTCTTCGTTAATGATATATGCCTTTTGTACGAGTAGGGGTGCTTCTTGTAGCCCTGTAATTTGAGAGAGAGAGAGAGAGAGAGTGAAGCAAATTGGGGAGGAGGATACGTTTCTTTCTCCTTGGTTATAGGTTTTTTTTTTTGGGTTGGGTGGGGGGGGGGGGGAGGGGGTCGTGATTCCAAAGAAAGCAGCCCAAGGATGACTTACTATATTCAAATGAGTTTATATCCCCTATCTCTATAAATATGAAGGAATTATTCCTTTTTTTTCTCACTTATAATAGTGGAATCAATGGCGCAAAGTAAAAAAATAATGCAGACTATTATTAAACCAATCCAATAAATTCGCTCATTTTATAAGAAACTAATCTTTGGTACAGTATAGATTATGCCATTTGTTATTATAGTTTAATAGGAAAAATAATTCAAAAACTAACTAATTAAATTCTCTGTAATAGAAACGGGGTAATATTTCTCGGGCGAAAAATTCTTTTTTGAAATGGGAAGAGTATATTTTAGAGATTTTCCAGCGCAAGTACAATTTCTTGATTTTTTATCCACAAGTTTGTCTAATGGCCATAATGTGGCGGAATTGAAAAGCATAAGTCAGCATCAAGTTATTATGTGTATAACTTTCGACGCAGAGTGAAAATTTATATGTAAAAATTTATTAAAATTGCAAAAATAGTAGATATGAATCCATAACTTCAAAAATATAATGTGTTTAATACTAAAATTAAGATGAATCCATAAAGTTTAAATTCTGGCACAACTATTTCTTGAAAGTCTTCAGATTTGAACAGCTTAAACCATAGCCTCTTCTGTCTGTGACTAGTCAAATAATGGCACAATTGATTAGCAAGAGTTGGTTACCTACACAACTAACTACAGCTACCTAATTGCTATGTAAATTGTGACAACAATAGTTTTAATGTCAATCTCTCATTTGAACTCTTGCTTTTTTTATTGGTCACCGATTTTTAAAACATCTTTTTTCGACTCTTCCCTCCTCTATATTCCTATATATAAAAAAAGCACAACTTTTCTTCTTCTACCAAGATTGTGTGATCAAACTTACTTCAATCAGAAACAATTTTCTCTACATTTCAATGGCAAATCTAGGGAGCAGAATGGGTTTGTTCGCGATTGTCTTCACAATGATCTGGGCAGGAGTTGTTGCTCAATCGAGCGATGACTGCACGAATGTGTTGATCAGCATGTCACCTTGCTTGAACTATATTACTGGCAACTCCTCTGTGCCATCTTCAGGTTGCTGCACGCAGCTTAGCACGGTGGTTAAGAACAAACCGGAATGCTTGTGCCAGGTCCTCAGTGGTGGTGCCTCTAACTTGGGGTTAAACATTAACCAGACTCAGGCTTTGGCACTTCCTACTGCTTGCAAAGTTCAGACTCCGCCTCTTAGCCAGTGCAATGGTAAGAAGCAAAATTCATTCTAAAATCTCACATAAAACTTCCTAGGGATTATCCTTTATGAACTTAGAGTTTTCACATCACTTTATAGGTTAGATTCAAATCGAGTCTAGTCACAATATATCAATTGATCAATCGCCTAAGCTTCAATTAATGCTAGATTATTAGGATCTTTGTTTATTTCATTTATACGATTTATTTATTTTTATATATGGGGTTCGACCAAAAGTAGTGGGCGTGCTGCAGAAACTTGGCTGCATACCTTCATCACCTCTGTGTGGTATATAGACGGTAAATATTTATCTGCACCCCATGTTTATACCAAATCAAGAAATTTAACCTTAGCAGTTACAATCTAAAGTGAGGATACACGTTGTAACAATAATTAAGTGATAAATGCATAAATGAAATACAGATGTCTTGCATTTGCCGGTTTGATATAAATATCAAGTTGCAATAAGTGGAAAAAATAGACTGCATGCTTTAGAGAAATTCAAGAGGCTCTCAGCCTACTTATACTTTGGGATTTGGATTCTTCACTGACATCAGTTATTTGGAACAGCTGATTCACCAAATAGCTCTCCTGCTGGAACACCAACTACTCCAGGTTCAAATTCTGGTATTTTTATTTTTCAGAAAGATCAAGTTTGCATTTTACAAAATGCATAACTTAACACTATCTCAAATGTGTGACAGGACGCGGATCTAACGCAGTACCATCCCAAGATGGTTCCAATGATGCAACTTCGACTAAGATGGCAGCTCCTCTTTTCTTCTTCCTTCTCTTCATTGCTTCCTATGCTTCAACATTCACCCTGGCCTGAGATTTCAGCTCAGACTTTCATTGAATATAGAATTGAGACATTGGAATTGCTCTGTTGAATGTGCTTATTTTACTTATTGATTTTCAATTAGCTCTTCTATTTTAGTTCATATCTGTATTCATTTTGTTACTGGGATTTTATTAGTCATCGAATTTCTTATTCTTAGTTACCTATTTTTTTCTTGGATTGTGTTGACATTATACAATTTTGTATTGTATTTCGGTACGCATTAGTTGAATTTTCAATTTGGGAGATTGATCTATAAATTACCTAACCTCAGAACATAAGCATGCGCCTGAACTGGGTAGCCAGAAAACAATGCCCAAAGAAACAAAAACTGAATAATAAAAAGAAAATAAAGATGCATGTGTCAACCGATCAACTTGCTCAGCCATTGAACACATTGACAATACAACCAATCTTTTATACTTCTAGTTCGCTAATACAATTAGGTAGTTAGCAATAAATAATTTTTTGTGACCTAGCCTATTACATAAAGTAGGTAACTTGAGGATCAGTGGATAAAAGACTAAACATAACAATATCTCTTGGTCTCCCCTTAAGAAGATAATACTTTCTCAAAACACCTTCCTTTGTAAAACCAGCCTTTTCCAACACCCTCTGTGATCCTGGATTTTCAACATCCACCACAGCTTCAAGCCTCTACAAATGTGGCCACTCGAATGAATATAGCGGCGGTCGCCATCTTCACCGCCTTTGTGGCAATACCTTTGATGATAACTTATATCCAATTTCACCCCTGCACCTATCACTTCCATCAAATGGTGATACAGAAATTGAACCAATTGGCTTGCCATTTAAGCAAATTGCTCGGAACCATGGATCTCGTATAATAACATCAGTAATGTATCTCATCGCGTCTTCTTTGCATTTGAATGTGAAACCAGAACAGAACTTATTAACGTTTTCATCCGCAGACCATTCCATAAAATCATCAACATCTCTGAGGTCCAATAGGCGGAGACTTACGTCTGAATAATCCTCTGTAGCAGCATCATCTTTGTCACTCAACTTCAACTTCTCAATTTTCATTGGCAAGTCTTCACGGGATGAACCAGATTCCATTGCCTCGAGATAAAATTTCTACTTAAGCATAAAACAGTCAAGTTTCTTGGTTTAATAGGTAACAGATTATAATATAGCTCTAGAGGTCAAGTGAAACATGAACAAGCTGGCCCTTTATATAATTCAAAAAGTGAAGAATAAAGAGTATTTCAGGAAATTTCTTAGGTCTACTAACCGGAGTCAACTAGGTAATTTACAGTTTTTATGACTTGGTCACTAAGGAATGGAACTATTACTGGTCGTATGCGGACAAAAAGCAGTGAGCATAGACTTTCTTAGCCGCCTCACTTAACAATAGTTACAATTCTGTCCAGCTTTTCTTGGTGAATTCATCATTAATTAGGATGCTGTTTTCGGTTCAAATCTTACACAGCCCCCTCCAAAATCTGAAAACAAAGTTACAAGTGTTATAAAATAATACTACTCGTTCACTCCCAATTTATGTTATTAAGTAATACTTTTTCATTTTTAATCAGTTCCAAAAAAAAAAAATGACACGTTTCTACATTTAGTAACGATTTAATTTTAACTTCTTATTTTACCCTTAATAAGATGATTTATAGTCAAACAAATTTTTATGTCTTATTATAGACCATAAGTTTTAAAAGTCTTTATTGTTTTTAAAAATTCGTGTCAAGTCAAATACCCCCACGTAGATATCGAGAGAGTAAGGTAGAGATTCTTATTATCAAGGTAATACAATTGGGGTAAGGAGTCTCCTATTTGTAGGAAAAGAAACTCCTTTCCCAACGACAAGGGTGCTAACGTTTTGGACAAGAGTTCAAGCTATCATATAATTTCTTTTCTTAAAAACTTTTCTTGGCTAGACCTAACTACACGGACATCCATAAATAATATTATTCATAACAAGAAAGGTAGGATCAAACTTAAATATATTTAGAGCGCTACACAATATAAAAGAAAAACATTATTTTATTAGATCCAACCACATTAGTCTCTAGCATGTGGAAATTCTAAGTCAAGATCAAGTCTCCTAGAGAACATCCAGCCATATTTATAGTTTTCCACATTATGACCGACATTTACAAAAGAGCAGTGAGTCATACTCGTCTACAGGATCGTATGCCTTCTGATATGGTCAAAAACTTACCCAACTAGACTTAAAAATCCATTAACAGAGTCAACAGAGGAAATCACAGCAAGAACAAGTTCTAGAAATGGACTCTCAACAATACCTCTCAGGTTATTCAAACTTTCTGATGCTGATGATCTTTTGGTAAGGCTGGAAGTTACCAATTAATTAAAGATTTTCTAATGTATTACATGAAGTAAGTGACTTGTGGATCAGTGGATAAAAGACTAAACATAACAATGTCTCTTGATTTCCCTTTAAGAAGATAATACTTCCTCAAAACACCTTTTATAAAACCAGTCTTCTCCAACACCCTCTCTGATCCTGGATCATCAACATTTATCACAACTGCAAGTCTCTCTGATACTATAATTCAGATTCAAGCTCTCCTCTGCACCTATTACTTCCGTGAACGGTGATACAAAAATAAAACCAACTGGCTTGCCACTTAAAGCAAATTGCTCGGAACTACGGATGTGATATAACAACATCAGCAATGTATCTCATCACGTCTTCTTTGAGTGTGAAAGTGTCATGAGAATAGAACTTATTAACGTTGTCATCTGCAAAGCATTCCATTATTATCATCAACATCTGTGAGGTCCAACAGTGTCTGAACAATCATCTACAACAGCATATTCATATATGGTCACTCAACTTCTCCATTTTCACTGACAACTTTTCATTATGATGAGTAAGATCGCAAGATTAATCAGATTCCACAGCCTCAAAATGAGAATTTTACTGAAGCAGTAAACACCCAATGTTTCTTGGTTTTACAGGTTAAATATTACTATAGTTTTAGAGAAGTGAAACATGACCAAGCTGGCCCTTTATATAAGTCTATCATGAAGATAAAGGTCTCAAGGAAATTACTACCCCTTTACTGTTCTTATAACTCGTCACCAAAGAATCAAACTATCTCCCAGATCATTTGCAAACAACAGAAAAGAGCAGCAACTTTCTTAGCCACCTCACTTGACTCTTGGAGAATTCATCATAAGTACTAAATTAATTAGTATGTTGCTTTCAGTTCAAAATCTATTACATTCCAAATATTCCATGATGTTCGAAAACTCTTAAACTTTATCTTAAATGGTCTTCAAATAGTGCATGTTTGAAATCTAACAAAATCTTTACGCCGTCCACTTCAAGAAATGAAAACAAATATTTTTTGGAGGGAATTTCTCTGTGAGCCATTTTACTTTCGTGCTTTTAAGTGAATTAAGAGTATCTAACACACCTCTTAATCATATCCAAGTAGTAGAAAGTATCAATAGTGTGCAGTCTCTGTACATGATTATGAGCTGAAATACTGAACAATAGAAAGCTAGAAAGCACAAGGATAAAGGAACAAACCATTAGAAATGAAAGTACGACATGGTGCTGCTAGTATCACCAAGTTGAAGTAGAAGTTCTCTCCTTTTAGCTTAGTAACAAGCTAGAATAAGTATTTAGGGTGCTCGACACTATATACATACACATTATTTCATTATATCCAGCCATATTCTAGTCTCTAACATGGGAAATTTATGAAGATCAGGTTACCTAGAGCATCCGGCCATATCTGTACTTTCCACATGATCACAATGATATTTACAGAAGAGTAGTGGCTCATACTTGCCACAAGATCACATGCCTTCTGATATGGTCAAGAACTTACTCAACTACGACTTACAAATACAATAAGAGAGTCAATAAAAGATCATATCTAAAGCCAGAAATCCTGATGACCTCTTGTATAGCATAGCGACGATAAAGTAAATCATAACCTAAGATGGAACACAATCATCTCGAAAGAAGCTGCATCAAAATATATCCAAGAAGCTGGCTATTCCATTGGTGCAGAATACAGGGTACAAGGAATTGTTCCTAGGCTACAAAGATGGCTATTCCAACTCTGTTGGATGATTTTCCCTATTTGGTGATGCTGGAAGTTACAAACTAGTTAAAGATTTTCTAACCTACTACATAAAGTAAGAGACTTGTGGATAGTCATAGAAGACCAAACATAACAGTATCTCTTGGTTTCCTGTCAAGATAATACTTCCTCGAAACACCTTCCTTTGTAAAACCAGCCTTCTCCAACACCATCTATCATCCTAAATTATCAACATCCACCACAGCTTCCAATCTCTCCAAGCATGGCCACTTGAATATGGTGGCAGCCGCCATATTCACCGCCTTGGTTGCTATCCCTTTGACCCAATACTTCCAGCCCATACCCATGTGGTATAGCAACATCAGCAACGTATCTCATCATGTCTTCTTTGGATGTGAAAGTATCACAAGATCAGAAGTATTTAACATTTTCATCAGGCAAACCATTCCATAAAATCATCAACATCAATTAGCTCCAACATCCAGACTTATGTCTGAATAATCATCAGCTGCAGCATCTTCTTTGTCGCTCCACCTAAATTCTCCTCCATTTTCACTAATAACTTCATTATGATGAGCATGATGACAGGCTGAATTTACTGACACCCAAGTTTTCTTGGTTTTATAGGTTATAGATTATAATTTTAGAGAAGTGAAACATGACCAAGTTGGCCCTTCTGTATAATTCAACATGTAGAATAAAGAATCTTCCAGGAACTACTTTGCGTTCAGTTAAAAATCTTATAAATTCCAATCCAACCATGATGTTTTAAAATTATTACTAGTACATTAAAAGTTCTTTAAATAGTTCATTCTTTGAAATGTAACCTCCCCCCCCGCCCACACAC